AAGAGCGGAGGGAGGGGTCGGTGATGGAGGGAGAAAGTTCGCCGGAGGCGATATCGGCGGCGAGTTGAGGCCAATGGGTTTGGAGGAAATGGATGGCGCGGAGGAGGCCGGAAGCGAAGACAGCGCCGGCGCGGAGGACTTGGAGGCGGTGGAGGAGGCCGCAGAGCATCTGAATGTACATGCTTTGGTGGGAGTCGGAGCAGAGAACAGCGGCGATGGGGCTCGTGTATGTGTGAGAGAGATCGCCGGAGCCCGGACGCCGGTGTTGGAAGTGGTGGCTTTTGTAGTAGCTGGTGAGAACGGGGCGGGCGAGGAGGCCGCCGGGTGTTCTGGTTTCGGATTTCACGAACATAAAAATCAGAGCTTTGCCGTTGTGGAGCCCGGGGACAAATCTGTCATTTATGAAATTAAGAGGGGGTTAAATTAGTTATATTTTTAATGATTGCATTAATTAACAAAGGTGTGAGGCTACTGGTTCATGACGGGAATGAGGAGGCTGTAGAGAAGCTGTCGACGGTCGAGATCTTCTTTGATGGTTGGCATCAGTTTCCTCTCACCGTCTGATGTTCCCGAACTAATTAAATTAAAAAAATAAATAAATTTATTGAGAATAAATTTAAATAATGATTTTAATATATAATTATCGCCCTGCATGTAATTATTTTTTAGCTTTTTTTGTTCACAATGGAACTAATTAGGTAATAATGAATAAAAAAAATTCAAAAATATATTTTATTTATGTATACATCATGTCAAGGACCGACATTCAAATGATAAGAAGAAGAAAATTATTTATCAAATATTAAGAATTTAAATCAGCTATTTTATAATTTATTGTTATATATACTTGACAATAAATTATAAAAAATGATATTTATGATATGTTTTAGGCAATTGCAGCTTATTAAGAAACAACTGTAAAATGGTCTAGTCTTATTTTTTTAATGCTAGAAAGTTGTCACTGGGTCTTCTCTGCGACCAGACAAGATGGGTGGAAAAATGCAGATTTTAGGGGCAATTTTTTTAAAAAAACTGTCAAAATGCAGTTATCCAAACAGAGCGTCTAATTTTAAATTTAAAAATAAATAATTTCATCACGATTCTTTAACAAATTGCATGTTTGAATTAATTATATTATTTTCAAAATAATTTATGATTGATTGAAAATTTAAGTCAAATTATTACATCATTTTCTTCTTCTACTTATTTTTTAAATAACATTTTCTAAGGCCACATTCATATCAATACTTTAAATATATTAAATGTCACCAACTCTTATTTGTATATTTTTTTAATGAGCACAATGAATCATAAACAAGTCATCAAAAAGTTTGTTATTATACAAAGTAACTATCAAAACATTCTCAAAATTTATAGAAATATCAAAATAGTCCACACAATCTTATAAATTGCAGTTGAAATAGTACATGCGAAGAACTGTTAAAAGCTCAATTATTTTGACACTTTTATAAACTTTAAGACTAAATCTATTCTCATATATATAAAACAAATTTCTTTATATTATTAAATTTACATATATAATTTACATAATTTATTCTTCTTTAGTATATAAAACAAATCACAAATAACAAAACAAACCATCACCTAAACTTTGGGATTATGTCTTTTATATAAAAAATTAATGATCAATCTTTTCATAAAAGCCCAAAAGTGGATTGATAACTTTAACATTTTTTTTTCAATTTCATCCTCATAAAACATATATTTACATCAACTACTCTTCATAACAAAATTACCTCGTGAGAAACTCAGAGATGGGATGGCCGCAAAGAATGGCGGAACGATCGCCATTCGCTATGCGTTGGATATCAGGCTTCAAATCCTCGTAATTTACGACTGGTACCCTCGCCTTGAAATCCTCCAGGCCAGCGCCACCGCCGTAGCCGGAGACGGCGACGCCGTGCCTGCGAAGATACTCTGTTTCTCCGTTCTGTTTCAGTATCTCATTCAATACCATTCTCTGCACCTCGTCGCAGTTCTCCGTCATGTCCTCTATGAACTCTAACATGTCTTCGTCACTCTCACCCGCCGGAGTGAGACGCAGAGTTCTCTCACCGTTCTTCGAAGTCGCCATTAATGGAGCTTTGAAGAAAGCTCGTGAGATGTGAAAGAGAGGAGAGATTTGGGAGGACGAAGAGCTCCCAGGGCTGGACGAGGCTTTTATAGCTGGCGGAATCGACCGTACGAGTTAATTTCGATTATGAAATATTATTTTATGAATTTTCAAAATAATATTATTAATTTATAATTAATGTAAAATAGTTTAGTTATTTAGTATAAATTTGTATATAATGAGTGATGTATATCTTATAAAAAAAGTCATTAGAAAAAATATAAATTGGGGATTATTAATTTTCTTATCATAAGTAGGGAAAAAAATTATGATATTATTATTTATTGTTAGTGTTTAATATTTCTCATTATAATATGTGATAATTTATAAATTTCTTTAGCCTATAAATTGTATTCAATTTTAATCATCTATTTTAAAATGGAAATAGTAAAATGCCAAAATAGTCTCCCAAATATGTACAGAAGGTCGTTTTACGGTCTGTTTGAGACAGATTTCTATATGTTTTGATTTTAAGACTGTCACCATAATATTGTTTAGAAAACTATATTCTTTCTATTTTTTAGAAATTTCTGTGACAGAAAGCTATATTTTTCAACCTGAATTATTCAAGTGTGATGACTGTCAGAAAACTATGGTATGACTTTTATAAAATGAAATAAATTATAATATCTACCACAGTTTTTTGAAAAAAATGTTTTATCTACAGTAGCTTCACAGGTGGTTTTTCAAACAGCTGTAGCTGCCTGAATTAGACCCTTAATCTAAGAGTATATAAATGTTAAAATAAACAACGAGGGAGAAAATATCACCCACATTACGTATAGGTATGAGGAATGGTGGATGAGAGGGATCACGTCATCACGAATTTAGTTATATGTGACTCAGCCCACCTCCACAATTCTTTGTATGTTCTTCAGTATGTACAACACATGCAATATTTTCACGCTCAATGAGCACTATTTTAGTCCAAATTTAATGAATTTTGGGCTTATTTCGAGTTTTTTTATAAATTATAAGATTAAAAAGGCCTAGTATAAATAGCTGGGCACTATTTTGACATTTCACTCCTCAA